ACTATTTGAATAATTCACTCTCATTCTCTTTATTTCTTTTTCAGGTCAAATCTTTTCAAGAAATTCTCAAAAGTTGATCACATGATACCACGTTATTTTTTTGTCATCAACGCACTAAAACATGTCAACACTACTATTAGGCCTTTCCATCGAGGCCCCACGAGCCTACGTGGCATCCCATGAGAAGATGGACAAGGCACCTCTTCGATGTGGTGAATCAGAGAGTTAAAGCTCTTACATGAAGCATTGCAACTTGAAGGTTTGGTCCGAAGCTTGTACGTGACCCATTTTCCTTGAAGATCTCCTAATTAATAGAATTTTATTCGAATAACTGCTTGACCCATGTAACGAGTAATATGTCAAAACCTTGACACCATAGGTTGTAAAACGACTACTCCCTTTAAAAGCGTTAAATGCGTCACATGCTAGTGATGTCAAACCCACCCTTAGTGTATTGAATTTTGAGTGACAAAAACATCTTGAATAGTATAAGCAAAGACCATTTGATACAAAATCAGCCCTCTTTTGTGAGGATAAATCAAAATTTTAATAAATTTTAGGAAAGATTGCAACCACTGTACCGAACCTTTCAATTTTAAATAGACTTCACCCAGTCTTTCATTTTGTTGCACCCACAATACCAAACATTTCAAAAACTCGTATATAGAGTCCAAATGGACAGTTTCTATTAATTTGACCATTAGTTGATTTAAGAAATTGATTTTGAACAATTTTAAAGGGGTAGAATGATAAATTTGAATTAAAATAAATCAAAAAATCAAGAATTAAAAAAAGCTAGCCCCAACTTCCCAAAAGAGTACCGTTCACCATCTCCTTCACGCCCACCCAAATTAACCCACCACCACAATCGCCCTAGTCGATGCACTGGGTGTCGCATCCACCACATCTTATCATAAATTTCATCATCCCAAATCACAAAATCATTATCAAACCAATCAAGGAACCATTTTTTCCCATAAAAAACTTCAAGTCAATGTAATCTATGGTGGGGCCAAAACACACCTTATGGCCACACCCACAATCTCAGACCTCCACGGGTAAACTCCTTCACCACAGGCGCTCAATATGATGGTGATGATTGAACAAAATACGGCCAAAACATCAATAATTTTTTGGGATTTCACATCCAACAAGTGCGAACAAGGGCTTTCATCCAACTAATGGTTTTCCCTTTTGTTGAACCCACAAATTCACATACGAGAACTCATATTCATACTCAGATGACTATGGGCACACAATTAATTGGTCCAATTGCCTCGCAATTTGATCCCTGAACTAGCAACTTAGCGATTTCGTCAATTGCAATTGACAGTCAAAATATCGTTCTCCATCCAGTGTGATCCATCGATGCCTTAAAAGGACCTTCCATTGCTTCGTGAGAGCTGAAATGCTACCTAGCAATGGCTCGATTAATCACATTGGCTTGAAAAGAGATAATAAATATGGGGTGGGTTAATTTAGAGTCGGGGATGGGGTGATGGATAGTACCTTTTTTTTATTTGTTAGGGAGTGGGGTTGGGGTTGGCCCTTTTATTATTTTTTCTGTTTGTTTGTTTATTTATTTATTTATTTTATTTTAACTCAAAGTTCCCATTTTGTTTTTTTTTTTTTTCAAATTGGTCAAAACCAAATTTTTGAGTCAACTAACGGTCAGATCAACATAAATCATCTATTTTGACTCCAGGTACAAGTTTTTGAAAGGTTTGGTACCGTGGTGCTACAAAATGAATGTTTTGACAAAGCTACTTAAAATTGTAATGTTTGGTATTGTGGTTGCAATTTTTCTTTAATTTTAATAAAAGTTGACCAAATATATGATTGAAAAATTTTGGATATAATTTAGTCCTTGTTTGAACCACATTATTTTAATAGAAATGTATTTTTGAATAATGTATTGATGGAAAACGTGTCGTTAAAATTTGTTTGTAATATTATTTTATTGAAAAATATGTGATTGAAATTATGTTAAAATATTGTTTAAAAATATATTTTTTTCTAATTAAAGTAGATCATAGAGGGCTTTAATCTAAGTTTTTAGGAAAAAGAAAGTTGAGTTGAATCGGCACCGCGTTAAGTTTTGCGTTTGGCAAGCCCACAAAAGCAACAACCAGCAATTCACCGGAAAATAGGCACTGCGAGGCGGCGCCCGCCGCAGCACCGCCCTGACAAATCAAAATCAAATGGCCGTCTCAATTTCCTCATACCGGAGGCTCATCTCTTCTCTTTCCCTAACACCTCTGCCACTCCTACGCCGGGAATTCAGATCAGACGCAGCGCTGGAAGCTCTAAGCAAGGCATCGGAAGCAAAGACCCCAAACGTAGTCTTGTACAATTACCCCTCTTTCTCCGGCGCGTTTTCAGCTCTCTTTGCTCACATTTACCACTCTCGGCTGAACCTCCCTTGCATCATATTGCCTTTCTCTTCCGTGGAACCCTTCAGGTTTTCACTCTCATAGTTATACATTTACTTGTCGATGTCTGCAATATAACATTTTCTATATATGCATGCTGTATAGATTCTGTGTTTTTGTTATTATTGAATTTTCACGAGTTTCTTTTGAGAAATACCAACAAGACAAGGCTTTCCTGTTTCGTTCGGTTTCATTGGTTTAAACATTTTGCCCCTTCAATTCTTTGTAGCAGCTGTGTATTACTGCATTGAAATCCGTAATCCTCCCTCTCTGCTGCTAATAGCTCTCCATCAAATTTCTCCAAATGGAGCTAATTGATTCAAAACTTGTAACTTTACAATTCATGTGGATACCTATTACCAGAGTTCTATACAAGAGACTATTTTTACACTTTGCTCATGGACATCTCCTGTCATGCTTGCGATGTCTATACTAGTGTGCCAAATTAAGTTCATTTCTTTTTTTGCATGAATTTCATTGGAAAATACTGGATTGGCTGACGTAAACAAGATTTCTCAAAATATAAGAAGCATAGTTTTGAGTCTACAGTTATCAATGAAAAGGAGCTCCACTAACATTATCAGTCTTCCATTTAAGTTAACAATTCATAAAATTTAGAGTTATATGACCTCCTTATTCGTTCCAGAGTTACCAAATAATATTTCAAATTTCGTCCATTTCACTTTCTCAAATTCAGTTTTTCCTTTTGCCATAGGATCGAAGATGTATCTATTGAAGGATTGGAGAAATGCTACTTCCTAGATTGTATTGGTCCGAAAGGGTTTGCTGTGGAGCTTTCCAGACGAACCTCATGCACGTATGCAATTCTTGAAGTTCGTTTTCAAATAAGCAATATTATTTTCTTCTTCAAAGAAATTTGGAATATGTAGTGGTTGAATCACCAAATTAGAATTTATTGTTATTAGAGTATTTGGATTTGATCATCGGAAATCAGTGCATGCCATAATACCATCTAGCAAAGAGTGTGATGCAAAGCTTGTGTTTCATGTCAATCTGGAGAAGAGTAGCTCTACTGCTGTATATGAATATTTCTCCGCAAAACTTTCCAAAACTGGGTTTGATAATGTAAGTGTCAGTTCTAGTAAATCATATTTTAGTCATATCAGTTATAGTGGTGTAAGTGATGTTGTCTGATTCATTATGGATGTGACCTATGCTGAAATTTATGTTTGTTTATAATCAATTTGTGATAGAAAGAAACTACGACCTTGCTAAACCATAAAGATCAAGATCATGTGGAGATGATTCTCAAATATATTGAAGATGGAGATCTTCGCAAGTGGAATTTACCAGATACTAAAGCATTTAATCTTGGACTCCATGAATGGCGCTCAAAGTTAAACTGCATCAGTAATTCAGGCTTGTACGAGCAGGTTGAAGCTGAATCTAACTTGCATTATTTGCATACCATAACTTTCTTAAACAGTACTCCGGAAGGGTTTTTTAAGTGAATTTGTTAGCCGGGGAAACATAATATCATAGATAATCATAATAATATGGCACCTTATAATTTACTTATAATGAGTGTCAATGGCGAAATTGACTCCCTCTTCTCTCAAATAAAATGAAAAGCTTCAATGCCCTCCACAATTGAACTGTTATATTTGAGATCACATTTACTTAAATTGGTCAGTTGTCCATGTAAACAGTTGATGGAGATACATGTGGACGATCTAATCACAAAGGGGAAGACCTATCTCTCGTGTCGGCAGAATGCTGCAAATAAATTTCTGGATAAAGTTTTTAGAGTCCGCTTGGGTAGAGGACTTTATGGGGAGTGTTTGGTAAAATGCTTTTACCATCTTTCAACAATTTAAGTTATGGTCCCTTAATATTTTAATACTGAATTCCATTGTGAATGTTGATACTGGTGTTTGTCCATTTTATTTGTTTAGGGTGTTAGAGCTGATGGGAATTCAGATTTAAGTGATGAAATGGGTAAGGAACTCAGCCGAAGGAGTGCTGCAGCTGGATTAAGGTGGTTTTCTTTAGTTGTTGTCATTCTTAGGTTATTATGTGATGTGCTTCTTTAGTAATTTTTTGTATTGTGATCTCTCCATAGCATAAAAACATTTGTCTTTGCTGATGCTGAGAATGAGATTGGTTTTTAGTCAATGACATGATATTAGCCATTGACCTGAGCCATTACCTTGATTACTGATAATATCATAATGTCGTTACACTAATATTATGGGTAACCTCATATGATACTGGACAGCAAAAGGTCTCATTCTGTTTGAGAGACTTGCTTAATTACTATTTGTCTTAGACATGCCAAGCCACGTTTTTCAACCTTACCATAGGCTTATCTAAACTTGCAATCTTAAAAAGTAATTTTTGTGGCATAGCAATTTTGACAGATCCATAAGATGAAAAAACTTTTCGGAAAATTCAAGTAAAACTAGACGCTTTTGTTCGAGAAACTTCCTATTTACTACAGGGAATACTCTCTAAATTTTGTATTAATTATATTTTCTCTCTTATTGCACTGGTATTGGCTGCTTTATGCATGAACTTACATTGAACTTATACTTTTTTGAGTTATCTTAGGTGTTCATATCAAATTCACTTTGTTGATTTGACTGCAATATACTAATTAATCTGTTTGTTAGGCTGCGAAACTACGTCTCAAATGAGATGACTTGTTTTGTTTACTTGACTTAAATTGAAGTAAGGGGAAAAAAAAAGATCTCCATATCAAGAAATGGAACTGAGAAACACCTTTTGGTTTCATGAGCAAAAGTTCATTTAAAGAAAATATTATTAATGGTCGCTTGCTCTGACTGTATAAAGATGTTGGATTATTACGAACCTACCTCTAGACACTCAAAATGCATGGTTAAGATATTGGTTAATGAATTTTAATCATCACAATAGGAAATTAATTTTCTCTTGAAGATTAAAATCATGTAAATAAGGATTTAATTGACCTTGAGATCATTGGATTATAAAATCCTCACATATATAGAAAGGGGAGATGATAACCTTTTGAAGGAATTATTAATGGCCTAGTCAATTGCTTCCTCCCTTAGATCTTCTCCCTTGTTCTCCACTAGGTGTTATTCCTTTTGGGGAATGTG